GTAATAGCACGTGAATATCACCGAGTTATCAATTTTTGCTTCAACAACCAATCAAAGAGGGAGAGAGAACGAGGGAGGAGAAACTAGAAACAGATCTATTCAACTCCAATACTCAAAAACTCTCTGTATAATTTACTATTCTCAGATCCAAATCCTAACGACAATGTCGACCTTCGCCGGAGATGAAACTGCTCCTTTCTTCGGCTTCCTTGGCGCCGCCGCCGCCCTGGTTTTCTCCTGTAAGTTCCTCCAACCCTATCCCAGATCTGCAGATGAATTATATATATAGTTAATTTTTTTCTTGAAAAATATGTGTTATTATTCTTATAAAATACAGTTGTAGTCTGCATATGCTAACCTAATTCCTTTTTTCATGAACTATATATAGTTGATTTTTTAATAAATATATGTGTTTTACTAATTCTGCACCACAGATTAAGCTTCGAGCAAATTTTATGCTTTATGCTTATTTGCAAGCTTATGGAGTACTAATTATGCTTATTTAGTAGTAATTTGAGATTTGTTCTAGAGTTACATATACAGTTGATTTTTTTTTTTTGGAAATTTAAAATTATGCTTAATCTGTACCGTTGTCACCACCAAAGACAATGTGATTTTGCATCTGTAAGCTTTCAAACGTTGGATCCACCTTTGCAACAGATACGAGTATGTTGTTTGCTTATTTATAATGGATCTCGAATCTAATGTTTTTATGAATGATTTGTAGGTATGGGGGCAGCTTATGGAACAGCGAAGAGTGGTGTTGGAGTGGCGTCAATGGGAGTGATGAGACCTGAGTTGGTGATGAAATCTATTGTGCCAGTGGTTATGGCTGGTGTGTTAGGTATTTATGGGTTGATTATTGCTGTGATCATCAGTACTGGGATTAACCCCAAAACAAAGTCGTATTACCTATTTGATGGCTATGCTCATCTCTCGTCCGGTCTTGCTTGTGGTCTTGCTGGCCTTTCTGCTGGAATGGCTATTGGTATTGTTGGTGATGCTGGTGTTAGGTATTGATTCCTTGATTTTCTTTTCTTTGTTTTTGTTGTCCTTTTCTTTCTTTGCTTGCTAGTGCCTGTTGGATCAGAATTCAATAATTAGGACTTTTAAATGTGAAAGATCATATATGAATAACTCCTGCACCATTGAGTTTTAGTACTATGTTGTTAGAACAATCTAGAGTTGGTTTTAGTACTGTTCATCTCTTGGTTTAACGGCGAGGATAAGTTTTAGTTTCCGAGCCCTTAAAAAGCAATTTTTAGTAGTAGAACTAGAGTTTCAATGCGAGTGGCTCCAGTAGAATGTAGAATGTTGCAATTTTATATTGATGACTTGGTGTGTGTTTTCATGAGCTTTTAGGTTTGTTGAAATTGCTGCTAACATCTGCAGGAATTTTTTTTTTGGTAGATAGTAAAAATAAGAAGCTCAAACAGAAACATAGTTGCTTAGTAGTTAAGTCAAATTTAATTGTTCAACTAATATAGAGCAGAAGGCTCTTAACCTTGTGTCATGGTTTCGACCCCCATGTTGGGAATGCCAATGTAATGAGTAAATATATTTACGACCTTACTTGAACAATTTCTGTTCTATAGGCTCTAAGGAGAAAGAAATAAAATCTGGTGGATGAATCATTGGCATGAGAACGGAGCAGGAACTTTTCTGAATAAATTGGTTAATATGCCTTCAAATAAAACTAAACTAAAGTTTTATTTGTTTTAATTAACTATCTTAATTGCCAGATCCCCTTCCACATATCTCAACTGTTTAATTGCTGCTAAACTAAAATCCATATGATAATGGTGAATACTCACAACATCTTACCCATTCGTGTTAGAGAACCCAACTTTTTATATATTGGAAATTTGGAATGGTTCTGTCTCAAGTTTGGCATTGAGGTGCAGTTGTTGTTTGCATCTTGGAATGTCATTTTCAATTAAACTTAGCCGGTTTGGCCATAAAAAAAATTCACTTTTTTTTCGAAATCAATGTTTGGCCATAGAATTTTCACTTGAAGATAAATTTTGGAATTTTTCAAAATTTTGAAAAATTCCAAAAAGTTGTTTATCAAAATTTTCACCGAAATCACTCAAAAAATTCAAAACAATCCAAAATTATATTCATGTCCAACCCAAACACAACTCTAATTTTCAAATACCATTTTCACTGGAAAAAAATTTCACCTTTTTTCGGAATTTTACAGTTCTTATGTCCAAACGCCCACTTAGTACTTTTTATTTTTATTTTATGTCCGAATTCCCATTTAAAGTTAACTCCTTTGACTCTTGAAATCTGCAAACCACCACATATATTGGAACGGGGGGGGGGGGGGGGGAGTTAATAAAAAAAAAGAAAAAAAATAGTGATGCCGGGACTTTGTTAGGGGTGTGTGGTATGAGTTTCTGTTTGACAACGGCTGCCTCGTTGTGTCCTTTTTTTCTTCCAGTTTCAAGCTGCTGGCAAAACTTTACCAATCATTATTCCATTGTCTCCAGAGAATCTATACCAAAATGACCTTTTCCGGTCTGTACTAGATCACTGGTAGTATGCTTTAAGATAGCTTATTGTTTGATCAGCTTGCAACGTTCCTGAAAAAGAAAATATCTAACGTAAAATCAAAGACACAGACTAAACACCCTGAAGTCTAGTAGAAGAATGTCTCTTAAGAAAGTGGGAAGTGGATTTAAAAACAAAACAAAAAAATAGTATTTTGCTTTTCAAGATCAGTGGACAGTTAGAGCTCACTGATTTCCTTCAAATCTTACAACTTTATGGTTCGAGGTGAGCTGCGAGCAAACTGTTCCAAACAGAGGTGCATATTCTGCAGTCAATAAAGTCGAAATATGGTAGTATATTACAACAGAATGGGCGGCTTCCAGGGATAGTTGCTGCCTTACGATTCCTTCTCTCCTTATCTTTTAGCCACTTGTCAACTCTTTGCTTAGCGTTCACAACATAAGTCTTTTGAAACAGCCTCTTGCAGATAAATGCTGTGTACAATGGACCCTATTGGGTCCGGCCTTTCCCTGGGCCACACACATAAGGAGAGCTTTGTGCACCGAGCTGTCTTTATTATTGTTTTCAATATGCATTGACTTCTATTGCGTCTAAAGAAAACATACATTGGCTTCTAGAAATCACCGGTTCTCAAGTCTATCTTGACTTTGCCAAAACAATGGATGAAATGTAAAGCCAAAGGCTCAATCTAATGACTGTTGCAGGCTAATTGTTACATATTCAGCTTGGGGCTGTTCTGTGCTCTTCATTTTGTTTGGAATGTCTTATTTGTTTTTCTGTTGTAATGCTGACTGTTATTTTATAGATGATTTTCTCTGTACTGAACAACAACTATTTTCTAGGGCTAATGCACAACAACCTAAGCTTTTCGTTGGGATGATCCTCATTCTCATTTTCGCTGAAGCTTTGGCTCTTTATGGGCTTATTGTTGGCATTATCTTGTCTTCCCGAGCTGGGCAGTCTAGAGCTGAGTGAAGTTAACCCCATTCTTACCGGGCTGTATGTGAAGCTGCAGAAGACCAAGGCAGTCAAAAGTATCTATTACGTGTATTGTTATTCATTACCCCACAGCTGCCACTATATTCAGTGGTGCAATGTTCTGTCTGTAGAAATAGGAATTCAATTTTTCTACTCAATAATAGCTTAAAGAGCTGTGCAATTTGGTCAGTATTTATCGTATATTTTGCAGTGAACGGTCTGAACCATTTTCTTTATGAGATTCGTGCATGTATCATTTCATCTTAATTTATTATGTTTATGGTGCAACATCTATGAGCTTGAATATTTCTTTGATCAGCAAGTTATATTTGGTTGTACTACTTGAAGATGCAAATACTTGGTGCGCATCTATTTAGTTGATATTCTGGATTTTCTCATGTAATTTTGGGCAGCACAAATTCATCTTAGGTAGTCTTTACTCTTATCTGGTCTGACTACTAGTAAAACTATCATCTCCAATCTGATAATAGTTCACTTTCTTTGTTTCTAAATATGTTATTCGTCAGTTGGTCTCTTACGTTAGAGGACCTATATTTGACCAGTAATTCAGTTTAGTATATTATTCAATAGTTAATATTATTTTGGGAGCACTCAAAAATAAAAATAAAAAATAAAAAAGATAAAGTTGAGACAGATTACCAAACAGCCAATTTGGCTATACTAGGAGTTCAATGGGTCTGGTTAGGTTAATGTTTGGGTCAATATGAGTTGGTCAGAAACTATAATTAAGTAGTAATAAGTGTTATATACCGATGCTCCACCCCCACAAAATATAATTACCAATCTATTTAATCCCTAGTAACATAAAAAGATGAAAAATTACATATATACGTCCGCACATCGATTGGTTTATGTTTTCAACTTATTAGAGTAACCTATCTCAACCTAGTATATTTGATGGGTTGATTTGGGCTGAGTTCAGCTTGATCCATTAACTAAAATGTGTAAAAACAGCACGGTCTAGCCAATTTTCGGATTGGTCATTCAAAAATAGCCAGCATTTACCAAGTCAATGAAAAATAGCTACTATTTTGCTGCAACAGAGACCGGTCCAGCATAATATACTGGAGTTCGGTGCACCTGTGTTCCAGCATATTATGCTGGAACTCCAACACACGGAAAGTTCCAGCATAATATACTGGAGATTCGAGCACTTGTGTATGAACTTCTAGCATATTATACTGGACCGGTATACTTTGCTGGAACTCCAGTATATTATGCTGGAGTTCCAGCATACTTATCTTGGAACTCCAGTATAATATGCTGGAGTTCAAGTATACTTATGCTGGAACTCCAGCATAATATACTGGCGTATTTTCCGGGTTTTGAACAGTGTTTCGCTCAGATTTATCTTTACATGAAAAGTGGCTAGATTTCGATTACTTTTAAAATTGGGTTATTTTTGAACGACCACTTATAAATCTCGCTATTTTTGACTTTCTCCCCTAAAAAGTTGGTGTTCAACCAATAAAACTTGAACGGGCTATGTAATTGTGGATCAATAACAATGAATTTATGGACAAGCTAAATGAAGTGGTATTGACGGATCAACAGCCTGAGCTTCTTCAGAAGCTGTCCCAAGGAAAGCCTACCTTGAGAATAATGTATGAGCTATTTCAATGCATACTTAAAATGGGTCCTATTGGCCAGGTATGCTAGCTTATTTAATCTCTGATCCCCCTTCCTGGAAGTTTGGCAAATCTTTTCTCTCTTACTTCATATTTTCTGTAACGGGTCATTGGATTGCGGATTTCTTAACATTCTGCTTTCTGAAAATTAGTCATTATTTCAGCTGTGGATTGAAGGGGGCCTTGGCGTAACTGGTAAAGTTACTCCCATGTGACCAGGAGGTCACGGGTTTGAGCCGTGGAAACAGCCTCTAGCATAAATGCAGTATAAGGCTGCCTACATAGACCCTTGTGGTCCGGCCCTTCCCCGATACCCGTGCATAGCGGCAACTTAGTGCACCGAATTGTCCTTTTTAGTCATTATTTCAGCAATTCATTTAAAAGGAGCCAACTTAAAATAGAGTGTTCAAAAATTGCCAAATGATTTTATGTTCATACTTCTTGCAGTGTGAATCTCTTATGCTTGTTTGCACTTTTTCTTTTCTTTTTTTCTTTCCCTGTTCTCAAAACTTATTTATATAATTAAATGTCTAATAACTTGAGCAAGCTCAAGAGCATTTGCTGGTTGTTTTAGGCTCTCTTTGAATTGGTTGGTTTCAATTTCATCAAGAAGTTGTAAACTTCAACTAGGCAATTAATGTACTCAAGGTCACAACTCTTTGAAAACAAAATAATGTACTCTAGGTCAGAATTCTTATAGAATTATGAGTATTAAAGAATAGTAAAAAAAAAAGTGACAACTCAGGTGCACAAGGCATCCCGTGTTCACGTAGGGTTCAGGGAAGGGTCATATCCTAAGGGGTGTGGTGTAGATAGCATACCCTAATGCAAGCATTAGTGGCTGCTTCCACGGCTCGAACTTGTGACCTAAAGATCACACGGAGATAACTTTACTATTGCTCCAAGGCTCCCCTTCTATTTAAGAATAGTAATATACATCATTTAAAATGGAAGAGAGAGCGGTTACCGCTCATGATAAATCATCTGTGTAAATAACCTTTCATGGATAAAGTTCTTAATTGCACTTGATTCCAAATGAAGTCTTAGTTTAATTGGAAGTTTTGCCAACACTTGTCTCTTGCAGACAACTACCTACTTTACCCTATGTGAACCTGTTACCCACATTTGTTCCTGCATACTTTTTTCCCTTTTGAATTGACATGGTATCATTTGTTTTATCCATTGTTTATACTTTTTTTTCTTTGGTATAGGGCCTCTCAATGCTATTTGGTGCAGATTTTCTGCCAAAAGGTAATGAAAAGGAAATCCGGGCAAAATTTAATGGATATCTGACATTGATGGACTCAATGACCAACGAAGGCAAGTGAGCTAAAATTCAATGAGGTTTTCTTTAAGCTAATTGATGTAATCCTTATTTACTTTTAGAATTCAGTATAATCTTTTGTTAAAGAAAATTGTGGTATAATTGCAGAATTGGATAGTTCCAATCCAAAGCTTATGAATCAATCCCGGATCATGCGAATAGCTAGGGGTGCTGGCCGTCGAGTACATGAGGTAATAGAGTTGCTGGAAGCATACAAGCGACTTGCAAATACGAGCAAGAATAAATCTTTAATGAAGGGACTAAATCAAATGGGAGGTGCAGGTGGTTTACAGAACATCATAAAGCATATGAGTTCCTCCAAAGATATGATGGGTATATTTGGTGGTGGCCGTAAATAAGTAAAGATTACATCAAAAGCATAAATTTACAGATTTACAAAGTCAAGAACTAGCAATTCCTGTCTATATAGTTAAAGCACGCACAATTTTGAGTTCTTCCACTGATAGTATGTTGTATTGTTACCTTGTTTGTATAATTTATTAGCAAGATCTTGGCCTTTAATCATATGGAAACACGTGGCAGCATACTACAAGTTACTAAGAAAAACTGAACCAAAGAGCATGGGCTTGTTCAATAACATTGGTTCTCTTTACTTATCAATTTAGATAGAACTGGGTCAACTACACTTGGGCTAACTCAAAATATGACTTGATTTGGTGGGGTGCGCCAGGCTACGGCAGTAGTGCAACGCCAAAGCGACGCGCGAAGGCCCGGATAGCAAGCTATTCTGATGGACCTTCCCCCTTAAAAAATTGAGTTAATATCGTGTGGGCCGATGGCCCACATATCAGATATTAAACTGATAAGAACAGATACTACACTTGATCTTAGCCAAAAGGCCGAGAAAGGTATGCCTTAACAAGTATTCAGGCCTTCGTTCTTATAGCAGCTCTCTGCTGTCTACTTCTTAGCTTCTATCGATGTGGGATAATAGGAAACTCCCAAAGGATATCCTTCTTGCTCTTTTGAAGTGTAAAAACGTAGAAAATGAAGTAAACTGAAGCAATAAATTTTAGTTTTATCTTTGTTTACACTTTCTTCATAAATTCATGTTCATATCTGGGACACGTAGAATTAAAGATCAAATAATATGAATATACAATTAAAAGCTTAATCGATCATTAGGTCAAGGAAAATAAGATGTCAAAACAACTGAAAAATAGGTTTTCTGACCAATTGAATATTTGGAATGCATAGTATATTTTTTATTTTTGGTTAAAAACCTGTACGGTTTATTCAATTAAATTACATTAATACATCTTCCTCAGCGACAAATTTATTAAATTACACATAGTTTGCGTTTAAAATTCACCATCAATCATGTATATAGACTTCAGTGCGAATACTACAAATCCTTCTATTCCAGCAACAAGTATGATTCATGAAGAAAATCGTCAAAGCTGATAACACCAAAGAAAATAAATTAATATAGGTAAATAAGTATTTGCTTATTTTAGAAGTCTTAACTTCTCACAAGAATGACCTCACGTTCAAAGGATAACCATGCTGCAGAAGTTGAAAAGATTCAAGATACAACTGGCGACTGTGCTTTTTATTCAGTTTTACTACTCGTTTTCAAAAAAATAACATGATCAACATATATAATGCATAATTCATTGCTATATATTTTCATTTTCTAAGCTTAATGTGCAAATAGTGACCAAAAATAAGGATAGATCATTAACACAGATCTATTTTACATTATAGTGTAGATTTTGTGTGCATACATCCATAAACATGATCATGCCTACATTAGCACATTACAAAGCATGCATAATCCTGAAGAATGATGCACGATGTTCTATTTTACATATTTCACATCTCTTCTTAAAAAGCTAAAGAGTGTTATGATCTTGCAAACTAACTTTGTTCAATATCTCACCCAATGCTTCTAAAGTGAACTTGTATCGTTCATTCGATTTCCTTCCCTCTTCCACCAACTTCACAGCACACTTGTATAAATTATCATACCTGTGGACTGGATTCTTGGTGTCAATCAAATTGCAACCGTAGTCAAGAACATAACTACGATGAATATCCTTTCTCCAACGTGAAAGAATGTACTGAGGTGGGATCTCCTCAAAACTGTTCTGACTTAGAACACACAAAGCGTGCCTGCACAGGAAACCCTCCAGGTTGAATAAACCACAAGCACAAAGAACTTCCGCAACAGCTGTATTCAACGTAACCTCATAATCTTTTGCTTCATTCACATTCTCAACTTCATGTTCCTTAACAATGTAAGTTACAATTGACCCATCAATACTTACTTGTCTTGTGCTTAAACACGAAAACATTCCCTCGACTTCGATTTGGAATTTTTCAAATATGTGATTCGTATAAACTTTAGATAGCTGCATTTCAAAATAAAATCTTGATTTCAACATAAAACTGGAATTCCTTGATTCTGTATCAGCCAATGCTTCTCTTTGATAGATTTCCTTCAGACATTGGTTATAGCTGTTAAGGAACTCTTTTAGGGGAGTATGATTAGCCAAATACTCATCAAAAGGAGAAGCCTCTTTCTCACTGAGTGTCACAGAAACCATCCCTGCCAGAAATGTATCCTTTAAATAGACAGGGGCCCAGTGTTTACGATTGTCGTGGAGTGTCTGGAGCCATTTATGGTCCCTAATTCCATGGCATAGTATCATGTCCTCCCAAGCTGCTTCGAACTCTTCTGCTCTTGATGATTGGTAAATTGCTTTAGTAAATGCTTTCTTGATTACTTCATATTCATGCAACCCACCCAATTCCTCTGGAACTTTCTTCATGATATGTGACAAAGAAAAACAATAAGATGACCGCGGGAGAACATCCGCAATAGCAGTTTGCATAACTCTAGATTGGTCAGTTATGATGGTCTGCGGAGGGCGGCCAACCATGCATGTCAGCCATGCCCTTAACAACCATATAAATGACTCTACAGTCTCTCCTGCAACCAAACCACAGCCTAATGGGACAGATTGTCCGTGGTGATTAACTCCGGCAATTACCACTAGTGGAATCTCATATTTGGTGGTCAAACAAGCAGTGTCAATTCTGACCACATCACCAAAATAACTATACGCAGCCTTAAATCTTGCTTCCGCCCAAAACACATTCCGCAAGCATCCTTTCTCATTTAGGTCCATTACATAAAAGAAATCAGGGTTTACCAACTGTAGATCAATGAAGAAACTGTGAAAAGCTTGAGCATCTCCAGGTTTAAGAATCAAATGGTTGTTGGACTGGACAATCGTGTTCCTGAATTCACCTTCATCAATGTTTAATTTTCGAACATCATCTGGATCAATAATGACAGTTCGGAATAACCTAATTTTCTGAATGTCTTGATTAGCATCCATCTGCAAGGACCTTTTACTCCCCGAACTGATGTTTCTATGAGATTTATAGAACTTTTCAGTTGATGGACTAACGAGGTGGTTGTGTTCAAGTTCAACTTCAATTATTCTCCATCTTTTGTTCTCCATCAATCTGAACTTTATCATTGCTGGACAGCCAGTTCTTGTCTCAGGTCTGGGCCGGTTCGCTTCGCTTTTCTTTTTAAATCCTGCACTGCTGCAGCTTAGTTTTCCTCTATACCTTTCCCTACTCTTCCTATACCATGTATTACTCACTCTGACCCCAAATCCATGCACTTTAGCATAACAATTGTAAAAGTAATATACATCCTCATATGTCTCGAACTCCATTCCAAAAGCCGGAGGAACAGGATTTTCGCCTTCAATAACACCAGATTGGCCAACATATTCTGTCATCGCACACTCCCCATCAATCTCGAATTCCTCAGTTTCATCATCGAAGATGGGTTCGGCATTGAGTGAAAGACCATCCATTTGGAATGTTGTAGAACCATCAACATCAATTTCTGTAATATATAAATGAGAAGAGGATTCGTCAAAGGTGGTCAGGGACGACAACCCCAGGAGAGGAGGGTGGAGGCGGACGATAGCGAAAGATAAAGCCAAAATAACTTTTTTATATAATGATATCAATAAGGAAATATTCCAGACGTGTTTCTCCCCAACTACAGAACTAATGAGAGGCCGAGGGCTATCGGGGAAATAGTTACTGTATAACATTGAAGAGTGTCTTTTTATGCAGGAAATAAGACAATGTTTCTCTCTGGGAATTCTTCTAACAAGAGTTTGAGACGTATTTTACAATATAAAAGGTTCTGCTTACACTGGTCTAGATGCCAACTTCAATATTAGCCTGAAGTATGAGAAAGCCATAAGGTTGTAAAGAAGAGTATACAGCTCACAATGATCCATTTCAACAATATATTTTTACTTCTTAGTATATCAGTAGGAAACTTTCCATTGCATCTCTTTTTGTTACATAGGCAAACACCTGAAGCAAAATTTCTTCAAAAGTCTATAAAAGATCGAACAGCGAAAAAAACGTTAAAAAAGAAGTTGATTTACACTTTAAAAAATAGGCGAGAATATCAATATCCTTGAATGAAAAGAAAAAAAAAACTCAAATTTGAAGGATGAACATTCCGGCAATAACAGCAAAAAGCAGAATCTTCTCAAGATTAACTATGAATATAAGCAAAAATATACAGGCACAAAAAACAACAAGCACACTAGTGTTACTCGTGAGAAGATTCCGAATAAGTACTCGAAACATATACTCCTTCCGTTTCAAAAAGATGAACCTATTTCCCTTTTAGTCAGTTTCAAAAAAGAACCTTTTCTAGATTTAGAAACAATTTAACTTTAAAATTATCTTTAATGAGATGATTTAACGCCACACAGATATCTACAGTTGTTTTAAACCACAAGTTTCAAAAGTATTTCTTTTTTCTTAAACCACGTACCTAATCAAATAGTTTCAAACAAATTGAAACAGAGGGAGTATTATATTTCTCAACGCAAATTGAAAGCAGCCATTTCTACAGATGAAAAGTTAGGGGATAGCTCACTAAGAGCGCACCCCCTCCCACCCACCGGGGGGTTGCATTTGGGTCCATAGGGGGAGCTACATAATCTGAGCAAATATCGAGAATTTCATTTCCTGTGTTCTGTTTTGATAAAGATGATAACCCACTATCAAAATCATTAAATTAGTATGGGTTTAGGTTAATTGGGTATGTACAGCCTAAAATAAAGATCAATTCTTGGAATTAGAGGTGAAGGGTTGAGCATTGAACACTATGAGCTGAGGGATAAGACAAGAAGGAGAAGCAGAAACTAAAGAATTGCTACTAGGGTAAACCAAACTTTGAGCAAATTAAAATGGAAATTTAAACAAAGATTCTCACCTGAGCCACTGCCGGCGGTGATCGGCTGAGTTCCTCTTGTCTTTCAGCCAAAAACGGCTAATCAATTGATGGTGTTTTAACTCATTTAACTATTATTTTATTTTCGACTTACAAATTTAGTAATGTCTCCCTTGTTGAACGAGGATAAAGCTTCTTATAGCTTGCAAGAATATTGCTAATTACATCTATTGATTGGTTTATTAATCTATTGAATCGTTTATCGTTGCAACTGATGTTCAACATTCAGAAAAGGAAAAGATGTTCGAAAAATGGATTACAATGTCCGACAAAGAATAAAACTTATTTGTTTAAAAGCTTATTAATAAGATTTGAATT